CGACAACATCCTGAATCTGGAACTCAAACACTTGAGTTCCAGATTCTACAACCATCTGGCACTGATTTTTAATCAGTGCCTCATACTTGGCTACTTCCCTTCGTGTTAGAAGTCAGCTAAAGTCATACCCATCCGGAAACCTGGGAAGGATCCGTCCCCTCCTTCAAGTTATCGACCAATCAGCCTTCTCTCAGGGTTATCAAAACTGTTCGAAAGAGCAGTCTACCACCGGCTCCTAACATCTGCCGAAGAAAACAACTTGTTACTCGAGAAACAGTTTGGTTTTCGGAAAGGTCGTTCGATTGTCCACCAGCTGACTCGAGTAACAAACGGTCTTCCAATCCTCTTAGTGAAGATAATTAACAACTATCTATCGAACAGGACGTCCCGAGTCTCTCTGAATGGCATCACATCGGATGCTTTCAACATCGGTGCTGGGGTTCCACAAGGAAGCACGCTTGGCCCAATTCTATTCAACCTGTTCACCTCCAATATGCCGACTCTCGCTGATGGTGGATCGTTGAATCTGTTCGCAAATGACACATCCATCGTCTACAAGGGTAGGTTCATCGGAACTCTGACTGCCAAACTTCAGAGAGGCCTGGACGTCCTGCCTGAATATTTCAACAGCTGGAAGATTCGTATCAACGCGGCAAAGACCCAGGTCATCATATTTCCACACCCTTAATCTCCCAGATTTGTTCCGTCGGTGAATAATAAGATCTGTCTGAACGGCACAGTGGTGGAATGGTCGAAAGAGGTAGTCTACCTCGGCTTAGCACTAGACAGCAAGCTGATTTTCAGAGAGCACGTTGACAAAACCAAACCCAAGTATAACATCTTGATAAGATCACAGTATCCACTCATCGACAGGAGGTCTACTCTATCCCTGCAAAATAAGCTTGCTGTTTACAAACAAATCATCCTTCCCGTAATAGAATACGGGATGCCAATCTGGGAGAGTTGCGCCAAATGCCATCACCGTAAACTCCAAAGGATCTAGAACAAGATCCGTAGGATGATCCTTAACAGTCCCCCGCGGACTAGAAATTCTGAGATCCACCTCCTGGCTGGAATTCAGACATTGGAAGAACGGAGAGTATTCATCCTGGAAAGGTTTAGAGACACCTGTCTGAGATCAAATCATCAGATCATACGTTATCTATCACCTTAGGTTAAGTTATACTCGTAGTTAGGTAGCTTTTCATTTTTTTTCAATTCAAACAAAACACACCCCCAAAAGGGTTTTCTGTAAACTAGTTGAAAAACGCAAATATTAAATTAGAATATCAAATTAAACAAAGATGAAGAGCCAGGTAGGCTAATCAATTAAAATGTTAAATCAATGTACTACCATAATCAACAGAAATAAACATACTACTAAAGTCTCAACTCATTTTCGCCTTGAACGGCGTAGCAGCAGTAGCAAGGTGGTGGAAGGTTAGTCCACTCTTCTATCCAACAAGCAAAAATGACTGGTCTCGGCAAAGGAGGAAAAGGTCTTGGTAAAGAAGGCGCAAAGCGTCATCGTAAGGGTATTACCAAGCCCGTCATCCGTCGTCTGGCTCGCCGTGGTGGTGTCAAACGTATCTCCGGTCTGATCAACGAGGTGTGCTGAAAGTGTTCCTGGAAAATGTGATCCGTGATGCTGTCAACTACTCTGAACACGCCAAGCGTAAGCGGCCATGGTTGTCGTCTCCGCTTTAAAGCGAGAGACGCAATCTGTACGGTTTCGGAGGTTAAATCATTACCAACTTTGGCAACAAAACGGCCCTTTTCAGGGCCACCAAGCTTATAACAGTAAAGATTTGGAATATAATTTGTCTGTGCCTGTTTGTCCATATTCCGAACCACATGCCCTCAACGACCACACAAAATGCTCTCCAGAGTTGTAATCTTGTTACCAAATTTGGAAGCAGGGGTGCAAGTGATTTTGATCGATTATCTTTATCAACTTTCCTTTTGAAAAAAAAAAACTAACAACAACCTTTGCCTTATATGATCTTTGCAAACTAATGATGCTAACTCTGCGAGAAAATTATAAATCTTTTTGTTAGGTCTGTTTACATTAACTAATAAAATTTTATTATCTCTTATAGAAATTTACACCGAAATGGCTGATCTACTCAAGTGTCTGACTGCACCCAATTTAATATTATTTAATATTAGATTCTTTTCTTACAAGAATTACCAATCCTCTGTTCTTATTCGTTTTTAAAGCAACTGTCAAAACAAAGATATTTGTTTCAATCCTTTCATCTGCCGCATTTACTTCTTGAAGCGCCACCAAGTCCACGTTGTGAACTTTTAGAATTTCATCTATCTTATCTCTTTTTTCTCTCTTCATACATCCTCTTATATTGAACGAAGCTAACCTAAAAAATTTACCTCTCAACCTCGATCCTGTATCGCTATCTTTTCTTCAACACTCTTCCTAAGAAGGGTAGATACGATTCCACAGCCGCAGACAGTAATGAGCAACAGCGGACGCACACCTTTTTGTCTGTAGATTTGAAGACATACTTCAAATCTTCGCGTACATCAAAAAGGTGTGCGTTTGACTTTGTACTGTCGCATTAATGGCCCTTCGCTCATTTTCAACTTCTATTCAATTTTCATACAGCCGTACTCTAACGGAACTATCCACCTACCCTCTTCTAAAGATCATTATTTAGCCAATAAATTATCACACTAATGCTTCATGTTTTATAAATTTATGTTTTGCTCTTTATAAATAATTAGACTTTTCAATTATAGTCGATAAATGCAAGAATGATAACTGAAAAAAATCGAATACTTCATCAACTCTCAATAGTGTGTACTGGAGAACACCACCACTCACCACGCGGTGATTGAATAAACACCGTTTGGTGAGACCGGATGGATGTCAACTTTGAAATCTGTGTTAGGGAAATCGCTTTGTACAGGCAATCGGTGATAATTTAATTATCAAAGCAACAGTTGCACATGCGTGCACTTTTCTTTAGTGACATTTTGAAAAATGATATTGTCTTAAATTTAACAGATGCGTAGAAATATATGTGATCGATTGGTGATACAATTATTGAAATTGGTCCAGGGGCACCTGAGTTATTAACGTTGAAAATCTTTCATAATTTTGCTACATGAAAATGGAACGGTTTTCACAAAGTGTACTCCCATATAGAAATCACAGACGTAGTCCTACGTCAAAATTCCCTGAGGGTCCCTGATTTTCCAGGTTTTTCACGCTAGTCAACACCCTGTCAATCGATCTTTTCCAAGTACCCCCCAATGAATGCTATTCGAGCCGAACCATCCGAATCGCTCTGGAAGCTTCCACTCACTCAACCATTCTATGATTCAACTTTAACATCTCCGACTGATCTTTCCCACCATTGAGCGCTGAACACTCTCAATTACATTCAACCGCGATTACACAGGAGAGGAGAAAAAGTTATGAAAGGAAAAAAAGTCTCACCAACCAATTGCTGCCACCCTCGAACAATCGGAAAACATCTTGTAAGTTTTCGGTTTTTGGTTTTTATTGTCAAAGTTTTCCCGTGGCCTTCCCCGTCTTTCCTTGCACGGGATGAGAAGCCAGACGCTGGCACTGGTTCAGTTTAGCTGCACATGCCACATTTTGGCCCACAATCATCGGAGCGAGGGAGGCAAGTCAGGTCGGCCAGTGGCAGCGGAGCAGAGCAGTAGGTAAAAGGCACTGTTTATTAGGGCTTCCTATGTGTTAATGAAGAAAATCCTACTTCTTCGGGGTATTGTTTTTGCTACATTGCGATTTACTCTCTTAAAGGTTTGAGGGAGGTAAGTACAACTGTTTTCCTAATGAAAAGACGTTTTTGCCTCCGCAGCCGATGGCGGCTAGTGGCAATGGCAAAAAGCTAATTTCTTACTCGTTCCGTCGTCGTCGTCGTCGTCGGCTTCGGTCGTCTAGAAGGATCTTTCGCTTCGTGCAGGGGTAAAAGGATAACAGCTTCTTGGGCTGAGATCAATTGGTTTGTCGTATTGAAAATTAATGGCTTATAACGAGACGGTGGTGGCAGGGTAAAAAGTTGGAAAAACCCTGTATCTAATGGCTTTTATGAGTTGTTGATTGAGAATTTGCAAACTTGTTGTTGGGTGAAATATTTGGAACTTTTTGCTGTCTTAGGATGAGTAAGATAAAGCATCTCTCAGAGTCACGAAGAGCAAAAAAAAAATATACGACCCAACATAAACCGTATCAACCGCTTGGGATCATAATTTATGCTCTTCGATGGAAGCAGATGAAAGAGTGAAAGAAACGACCGACGGACCGTGGTAAGAAAGTACACCAGCACAAAAAATCGCACCAGAGATGGCATAAATTAATTAATGAAATTAACAATAAATCATGAAAATTTAATTTAAAAAATCCACAAATTTTCCGTTGGTTTTACCATTTTTTTTATAACTCTCAGTATCAAAGGAGGCAATGTTTTTCCTTGCACCCTTTCAGATCATCTTGACTAGCGACCGAGTCCATTGGCGTGGAGCAGTAGGCGATGTTTCTTGCCATGGTGACGAGGGACCTTTCCCTCGTTCCACTTTCCCTGCGTTTCTTCTAAATCGTCATTTTTGTTTCCTTTCTGCTCCTCCCGATAACTCGTTGCGCCTCCTTTCAGACCCGAAAACTTGTGCGGTTAAAGGAAATATCAAATATTTACTTTTAATTCTGATTTCTTGCTCGGCTTGTTATCCCTCGCACTTCATCTTGGTGGGGGAGATTTATGTTTTTTTGTGGCTTCGTGGAAGTTTGACGATAGATTTCCTTTTCAGTCCAATGGCAACAGCGTCATCTGGGTTGATCGAGAAAAAAACGGATTACAATACTCCCACGAACCACGTGCCCGAGTGGGTAGCGTAGAACTTTTTCCATTGAATGTAACGTAGCACCAGAGGCTATTGAATCCCTTTTTATTCATTGGATGTCGTCAGAAAAAAAAAACTGGGAACACAAGTCTTTGAATTTCATAGGCTTTTTTTATTGCTTCTTGTTTCGCCATAGAGGCTCCGAAAACTAATTGTCTTGGTTGGTATAAGTTGCCTTTTTTTCCTGCTACAGTTGATGTTCCTACAGATGATCTCTTCGATGAAGACTTAGAATCTACAGATGACACGATTCGAAGAATTCTATCCGCGGTTGACTGTGGGCCACTTTCCGGCGGCGTCGACGGTCCAGGATGCGGGCTACGAAGGGTGAGAACAGCTTGGAGTCCATTTCGTCCGGATTGTTCGGGCCTATCAGGAACGAAACGATCACGGCGATGACGATGGTGATCAGGGCCCCCAACAGCGTGTACCACAGGTAGGAGATGTGGTACAGGGCGAACTCGGGCTCACTGCAAAAGGGGAAGGGGAATGGTTAACTGATTTGTGATTTGTGATGCTATGTTGATGATGACTCCATCTGTCAAGGTAGGAAAAGGTAAATCTTTGAAACTTCATCGTCTTGTGGAAAGCGGGCAGTGGTGGGTACTAGAAAGGGTCTAGTATAAGAGAGGAGCGGATTCAAAACAATCTGCCTGGGTGGTTTTTAGCAACGCTGCTAATGCAATCAAGATAGGCGCTGCTCAATTGGCTCTGGCTTTGACAGTCCGTTTGGCTCAAACCAGCCAGTTCGTTCCTCTCTTATACTAGACCCTCTCTAGTGGGCACATTTTCGATAAATCGTTAACCGTTAATTAAGGGTGTTAATTTTATGTTATCTGAATATTCACCCTCCCACCACCAATTAATAGGTATGTAGCAATATGATGGGATCCAAAGCTGAGTTGAATGATGCAGATTTTATTAGATCATGTTTTCAACGACGTCTTTATAGAATTGAACACTTTGATCCAGTTATGTTTAGCTGTTGATCGACAAAATCAGTGCCGAATAGATAGGTTAATCCCCATTAAGTCAAACTATTTGTCAGATCGCAGTAGGCTCAGCCCACGGACGGTTGGGTTTTCATGAGCTGTCACGAATTTATCTGTTTTTCCCGCGGAGTGATTTTTCAAGTTCAATGTGTGATAAGTATTTGCACGATTGATTGGTATTGTAGTGAATCTTATGGGCGTGTGTTTTAATTAAAAAAATATCGTAATTTGTGTTATATCGATTTGGGAAAGGACCCGGTGTCGAAGCGCTAGCTAGTGAAAGATCGAGGTAGAAAAGGAAATGTGGTCGTTGCCAAGTTGAAGGGTGACTTGAACAGAAGCAGGAAGAATTTTATCATCAAGGAAGTGAGCGGCTGGTATTTTTTTTGTCTTTATTAGCCGTTGGCTACACGGTAAAAAATTTGTCATATCTAATCCAAATGCCCTTGAATTTGACTTAGTCTGTCATTGATTTTCAGGTAATTTGCGTTTCGAGACAAAGTGATTTGTCGTTGAAAGACATGTACTGTATAACACCTTTAAATCAAAATGATTATCATTTGAATTGACACCACTGTTTTCACCCATTGAATTTGATTAGTTTTGCTTTTGGAAGCAAATGTCAAAAACGCACATGTCAAACATTACTCGCGAAGAAGGCAACTCAACATCAAATGAAGTCAAATGAGAGAAGCAATAATTTTTCATTTCAACCCGAACTAATTTTCATTCTAGAGCGTGAGTATTATGAAATTGATACTGTATTCAATACCCAACAAACAATTTTAGCTGCAGCTTAGCTTATACAGGCAAAAATTAGCTGCATAAGGCAAATTTTGGCTGTATAAGCTAATCTGCAGCTAAAATTGTTTGTTGGGTAATAGTGTATAATAGAACTTCTATTACAAAACATTGTCAAACTTATCAAATTGATTGCTCAATGTAAGTTCTACTACAATCCTTGTAATTTTTTTTTTTTTTATTTTCCTTTATTTAACGTCGGTCTCTGTTCCGCAATCTAGTGCCAATCACCGACGGACATCGATTGCCATCAATTAACGGCAACCGAATGTGCAGGAAGGCAGCTTCCACACCTGCGTAGGATATCGCACCCATTCAACAACACACATGGGCCGGGACCAACGGCTTTACTTCCCTTCCGAAGGAAGACGTGACCAGAGATTTTTATGCCTCAGAAAAATCCGACCGACCTCGGCTGGTATTGAACCCAGACCCATTGGGGTGTTAGAAAGCAGTCACGCTTACCACTACACCACCGGCGCCGGTTCACAATCCTTGTAATGTTGTTCAATATAACTTGGACACATGTGATCTAGGTAGTAATATGATATATGTTCTATGGTCATTTTCTGAATAACATATGACAAGGATGGCAGTATGAACAAGGCAATATATTAATTTAAACCCATTTTCAGCAAAAATGAAATCCAAGGATTCATTAGTTAAACTTAAAGCGATAGATTGTTAATATCAGTATGGTTGACATTTTGAGTTCAAAGCACAGCACATTAACAACGCTGTGCAATACAATCTAAAATTAAGTGATTTGTTGTTGATTTCATCGTGCTTCGATATGATCTCTTCCAAAGGATTTGCACATCGAATTGCAATGTTTGGCAAATAGTGCAAATTCAACAGCAAATCACTTTACATCAACATGATGTTTTTTACCGTGTAGTTCATCTCTCTAAGAGTGGCTTATAAGAAAAAAGATAGGAGATGAAAAAGTTTGTGATGATCGATCACATTCATGCAAGCCATCCGTTTTGGTGAGACCGTTTCATTTTATATAATTTCGGGAGTTCAAAAATTCAAAAGCTTAGTTGGTTGTACCGCTACCTGTGCACAGTGGCGGGCCTCCATACAAAGCTCGGACAAAACCTCATATGTTATCTGAAATGGCTAAAACTCACAGGTTAAGATGATTTTGGTATCCTGAATGTATTTCTGATATGAAACTTTTCATATATTTTGGTTTAATTATATTAGGGTGGTTCTAAATTATGAAAATCAGCCTATTTTGGGTTAAGTAAAAAGTAATCAATAATAAGCTATCACGATGTGTTAGTTGAATGAAGATTTTGATTAAAAGGGTTATTAGGGGGTTCTGAAATCATTATTGATATTGAAATTAACTTTACTTGTGTATTTTTTGCTCTTAGGGTGGTTCAAAAGCTATAAAATCATATAAATTATTAAAAAAGTTCGATTACCTACGTTTTTCATTCAATGGATCGATTCAGCTACACACACATGTTAGCTGACAAAACTGATTGGTATTCTTAGGGACCGTCCATGAACCACGTGACGTTTTTAAGGTGCGAACTCAGAGCTAAGTTAATGCTGAAGTTGATGTTATATAAGGATTAATTTCTTTTACGATTTACAATGGGATCAGATAGTCTCAAAATGTGAACTACGTAAAATGTGAACTGTCCCTAACCAATCTCATTTCAACGCTTTCATACATGCTCCTCTGAGTGTGGGCTATAATATACATTGATCTTTTTTTCTTACTTGTCGAAGAGATACCATACAGCGCGCTGCAGCGAACAAAAGAATGATGATACCTCAGCTCATTTTACTTGTCGAAAGTGAAACAAATGTCAATACACATTCGCAATACCGAACGGAGTTGCTGATAAACAATCATCAGTGATCGGTGACATATTGATAAAAAATAGAGTTCCAGCAAATACTTTCAAATTGTTAATCACTTTTTGTGTGGTTTAGTGGAAATGTGCTCTAAGAAAAACGGTATAGATAACACACAATTAAATTTCTAGTTATATTAGAAGTAATATTTGTTAATATTTTATAGAAGTTTACTTAAAAAGAAAAGACGTATTGGAGGGTGCTCTGAACTGTAGCGATGTGCGTGTAGAGCAGAAACGCAAAGCTGTCGACCAATATGTGTCGCTATATGTTGGATGTGCGGTAGAAGGTCGTGATGAGATCGTTTCCAATCTTTTTAAGGAGTTTCAACGAAGATGGCAGAGTGCGAATCGAAAAAAGGATCAGTTTTTGAAGACCAATGAGCAATGGTTTGTAGTTATTGTTTCATGTTTTTTACGGTTGATTATTTTTTGCTTTTATTTAATTTCTTAGGTAAGAAGAGTTCGTCGTTTTTGGTGAAGCAACATCATCTTCAACAATGCGGAATGTAGGTGGTCGTCCTTCAAAAGATTTTGAAGACGTTTGTGATCGAACCAAGCGGCGAAAAACAGAAGTGTTGCGTAAATCATTTACTCCGCAAGAACTGAAATTTGCTGCAGGAATGGCTTTGCAATCAGAAGGAAATGCGGAATTGGCTTCGTTACTAAAGAAAGGCACCTGCACGACAAGCATTCCGATTGAGTATGCTTTGGCTATATATTTCGACGCAAAACTTCCGAAAAGAAGATACAATATCATTCGCGCAACCGTTAAAATTTTTTATCCATCTTATGAAAAAATATCTTCTTCGAAAAATGAGTGCTTTCCATCACTTGAGCACTTTGAGATTACGGAGACTGTATGTAACATTCAATTACAAGCATTGCTGAACCACACTTGCTCTCGGTTGATTGTACTTGTTAAAGATAAATTTGAAAATCTAGTTCGTGAAGGTTTCAACGATTTCAGCCTTTTACTAAAATGAGGCTGTGATGGAAGTTCTGGTTTAACGAATACAAGCAAAAATTTATGGATCCTCATGCTCTGACGCTCACATTTTTTAACATCGGTGGTACCATTAAGAGTAATTACCGACCGGAAAGTAGTTTGGGATAACCCTCGATCGTCCTCTACGCGATACTGTCGCCCTGTTTTATTGAAATTTGCAGAAGAAACTGTCGAGTTAACAAAACAAGAATTTGAGCGCATGAATGACGAAATTTCTAATTTAGAACCATTCGAATTAGAAATTTCAGGCATTAAGGTGTTAGTCACATTTGATCTTATGTTAAGTATGATTGATGGAAAGACTGTTAACGCCATCACCAATACAAAATCTTCTCAGAGATGCTACCTTTGCTATGCTACGAGTTTCAATTTTAACGACATTGAAGAAATGTTCAACAGAGCTATCATCTCGGATAATCTGGAGTACGGTATGTGTAGCTTACATTGCTGGATCAGAACATTTGAGTGTCTGTTACATATAGCATACCGACTAAGCTTCCGAAAATGGATAAAAACTGTACATATGGAGGAGTACAACAATGCTAAAGCTCGAATTCAAAAAAAGTTTCTTCCAGCAACTTGGATTACACGTCGATAAGCCTCGTGCTAAATTTGGAAATAGCAACGATGGTAAGATGGCATTTTATAAGACTGACTTTCTTTGATTTGCACGCTAGGATTCTTCAATATTAATACCTTTTACCTGTTAATATTCTAATCGTATCGTTCTTATTATCTCCAGGTAACACCGCGAGACGTTTCTTCAAAAATGCTGAGATTTCATCTCAAATCAC